TCGCAATGGACTCCTTCGGCTTTTGACGTACTTGGGGTACGTTATTCATGTGGTGAGCAATTTATGATGTCTGAAAAAGCGAAGTTGTTTGGAGATATGACGTCGTACGACAAAATTATGGCTGCAACAGATCCTATGACACACAAGTTTTTCNCGTGATCATCCCCTGTCTGGTGAAGATTTCCCCGCTTCCAATTCTCCCACATCCCCCATTTCGCAGCCTCCTCTCCATGGACATCAACGCATCCATGAGCTTGCTACTGATACAGGTTCTTCGCTACGGAAGGACCCGGGCGAAGGCCCAGCTTGTCTACGTTTGGACCCTCCGGGCGACCATGCTCCTGGCGTTCATCTAGTGGCATCGACCTCCGCTTGTGTAGACCAGCCTCCCCTTCTCGAACATGGGCCCGATCTGGTCGGCGGCACGCTCCTGTTCGACTTGGACTCATACACCGCCCGGGTCCTGCTGCATGGAGGACCTACAGCCACTTCTCAACTCGCGCGAGTGGCGCTTCTGGACTCTGGGTCTCCTGCATCCTTCGTTTCCGACGCCGTGGTCACCGCCATGATAGCTGCCGGAGCCCTGACAGCTGGCAGCGTTCGTGTTTCGCCCTCTCGTCGTTGGGGTGGATTTTGTGATGGACCCGCCCTTGTGACCACCCGGTCAATTCGTCTCACCGCTAATTTTCTCCATGGAGATAGAGCTACCCCTTCCTTGGCGGTCTGGGCCTGTGTTGTTCCAGACGCCGCCATGGGGCACGCCGTGCTTCTGGGTCGTGATAGCTGGATGCGCTTCAACTCTCGCGTGTTCACCACCCTCCCCCACCCTGGACCGGACGGCCGGGTTATGGGCGAGCTCACGCTCTCTCCGCGTTTTACAGCTGGCGCTTGCGTTTACGCTACACACGACGACGCTCCTGCCTCCTCGTTTCACCTTAAATATGCAGGGAGCTCGGGAATTTCTTTGGGGCCGGAGCCTGCACTCGTTGAGGTGGACCTCGTTCGTTCTTCTGGCATGCCTGCGCTGATTGGAGAGTATCTGGTATCGTTCAAACCCGAAGTGGGTGCGCTTTCGTCCCCAGATGCGTTCGTTTCCAATGGTCTCCAGCGTATTCCCCTTGCAGGTTGTGCCGAGCTCGAGCCGGGAGACGTAATTGGAGTGTCTGCCGCGCCGCTACTACGAGTACCGGTGGAAACCCTGAAGGCGGCACCATCTTCGATTCCTACCGGCCCCACAACATCTACATCACCACCTCGGGTCAACGCCGTTGGCCCCAAGTCCGGGACTCACCGCTCTCCGGACCCAGCCTCCGCCCCGCCTCCTCCGAAGCCGCCTCCACAAGAACTACTTGACCGCTTCTCTGAGGCACAGCGCTCCAGCTTCATGCGCTTGTGGGCTAGGCTGCCCGCACATATGCACGACATCGCTTTCGATCTACACAATCCGGGATGGACACCGGAGGCTATTGATCGTTTGGCCGACGCCCTTGTGGAGTATTCTGACGTGTTCTCTACTTCAACCGATTTTGGTTCTTGCACCATCATGCCGTTCACTCTTTCTGTCTCAGCAGGGACGAAGCTCGTCGCATCGCGCCCGTATCGTATCAACCCGTTGATGCAAACGAAAGTGGATGCCGTTTTGGACCAGTATTTGGCGGCAGGACTCGTTCAACACTCCACGTCTCCGTGGGCTTCTCCTTTGGTTGTCATCCCCAAGAGGGACGGATAGGTTCGCATCACCGTCAACTATAAACGTCTCAACGCTCTGGTGGATTTGGATGGACAACCTCTCCCTCGAGTGGACGGTATCTTGGATTCTCTGTACACCGGGAAAGTGTTCTCCATCTTCGACCTCAACTCGGCTTTCCACCAGATCGTTTGTGATGAAGACACTGTCCCGCTCACCGCCTTTTGCACTCCCACGCAGTTGTTCGAATGGCTTCGGATGCCGCAGGGCGCCAACGCAAGTCCGTCTTGGTTCGTCAAGGTCATCAACAGAGTGGTGCACGGTCTGGAGCGTGTGCTTGCTTATCTGGACGAGGTCATCGGTTTCGATAAGGAACCTCTGGGACACGTGCTGAACTTGATCGAGTTCTTCAAACGACTGCGACAGTACAACCTCAAACTGTCTTCAGGGAAGGCTGGCGTCGGCGCCACGCACACCAACTTTCTCGGTCACACCATCTCTCCGGCAGGTGTTAGCCCTGATGGCGTTAAAGTTTGGGCGCTCACGCACATGCCGCCGCCGACGAATGTTAAGCAGCTTCGGAGCCTTCTCGGTGGACTCAGTTACTACCGGAAATTCCTCAAGAATCTCGCCACCAAGGTGCGGCCTCTCAACTCTCTCCTCAAACAAGGCGTCCCCTTCAAGTACACCCCGGGCATGTTCAAGGTTGTCAAAACGTTGTTACACGAACTCGCTCGCCCCCCGACTTTGGTCTTCCCGGATTGGGCAGCAAGCGAGGACAACAGCCGTCCTCTTCGTTTGTGTTCCGACTCGTGTATCGACGGTTTTGGCGCCTCCTTGGAACAAGAACAGCTCGATGGCTTGGTGAGACCCATCATGTACGTCAGCCGCGCTACTCTTCCTGCGGAGCGTAGCTGGACGGTTCTGGATCTGGAGCCTGGTGGCATTGTTTGGGCCATCATACGCCTTCCCGGTTATCTGTGGTCGACCAAGTTCATCATCTATTCGGACCACAAAGCCTTGGAGAGCATTGGCAAGGTTGGGGAACACAACGCTAGGGTGCAACGATGGCTCGAATTCCTGTCCAACTTCACCGACACCCTGAAATATCGGAAAGGTTCGGCAAACGGCAACGCGGATTTTTTTTCGCGGTTGCTTTTACCAGCACAAGACACTGACAAAACCGGCCCCGACTGCATTGATGGTGTCAATCAAGTGGGTGTTTTCCTCATTTGGGCTTGCGGGCGCAACTATCACTCGTCGTCAACACCGGAGGTTGATTTGGGTGGGCTCCACCCTGCTTGCACGGCGGGAGTCTTTTCGCCCCCAGCGTTGCAGCCCTCCGATTTTGGGGTTTTCGCCGACATCACCCGCGTCGGTTGGATGCTCTGACGGACTCAACGGTTGCCTGCGAGAATCCTCGGCGGTCCCCGGGGGTCTTCATCGTCTCGCCTGTTCTCGCATCTTCGGGGCCTGCTTCCCCATTGACTTCTGATGCTACCCGCGTGATGTCTCCTGCCGCGTCTTTGGCGACTAGTTATGTGCACGTTTTATCTTCGCTTCCGGAGCAGGGACCGCTCATTTCTTCACGGACTCGGGCCAAAACTACCGCTGTTTCCGGAGGCACCGTCACCAGTCCCGCTTATTTCGGACGCCAGCCGCGGGCTACCCTCGTCCCTCGGACATCGTCGCC